GAAAGTGATTGGAAATCATATCAGAAAGATGATATCAATGTTCACTCATAATATCAGCAAATATATAAAGGAAGCGAGGGCAATTTCCATTTGAGGTGAACATGTTGAGAAAGACTATCAGAATGCACTGATAAGAGAAGTGCAGACTAGCCTAGTTTTGTCGTTGTTTAGTCACTAAGTTGTGTCCTACTTTTTGTGACCCCCACACACTAGAGCCCGACCAGGCTCCTCAGTCCATGGGATTTCCCAGGCAAGAATATTGGAGTGGGTTGCCATTTCCTACTCCAGGGGATCTTCCTGACCCAGGGATCAAAATTGGCAGGTGGATTCTTAACACCTGAGCTATCTGGAAGCCAAAGCCTAGTTTACAGGAAGGCAATTTACTAGCACCCATCAAAGTTAACATGTCAACTTTGAAGTGAAATATTTCAACTTCTGGGAACATATGTTTTAAGAAAAGTATTTTTACCCATGTATATGGACTTCATTACTTTTCAAGAGAAAAAGAAAACTTGAAAACACTTTAAATATCCAGCGGTAAAATATATTACCATATGGGAATAACAGATTTTAACATGTGTAGACACGGAAAGAGCTCCAAGACAAGTCAGTTGCCAAACATGACTTCATGAACATTGTATTTTTGCATTTTGTCTTGGGAGAAACCATGTATTGGAAGATAAACATACACTTACTTGTAAATGTTAGAAAATCCAATAAAATTGTACCAAATGCTTCTGTCATGGTAATTTTCTTCTACAGAGTAACTGGTTTTATCTTTTATAATGTCTTTGAAAGACAGAATCTAGAGTTGTATTATTAACACTTCTGGCTTTATTTTTCTGATAAATGGTATCCTCATGGTTCTTATTATATTTGTCAGAAAATAAAGGAGTTAAAATTGGTTCTCTTTTTCTCGTGAAGTTATTTGAAGGCCAGATATGAGAATGGAATTAAACCATAGTTCAAAAAGACACATGTACCCCAGTGTTCATTGCAGCACTATTTACAATAGCCAGGACATGGAAGCAATCTAACTGCCCATTGGCAGATGAATGGATAAAGAAAATGTGGTACATATATACAGTGGAATATTACTCAGCCATAAAAAGGATTGAAATTGGGTCGTTTGAGTGATATGGACTGAACTAGATTCCATCAAACGGAGTGAAGTAATTCAGAAAGAGAAAAGCGAATGTCATATATTAATGTATATATGTGGAATCCAAGAAAATGGTACAAATGGAACTATTTGGCAAGCAGGAATGGAATCCCATGGACAGAGGAGCCTGGAGCTGCGCTGCAGTCCATAGGGTCACAAAGAGTCAGACACGACTGAAGCGGCTGAGAACGCAAGCACACATTCAGTAGAGACTCAGACCCAGGGGGGGAAGATGAGGGTGGTATGAATTGGGAGGTTAGGATTTCCATATATACATTATCCGTGTCAAATAGATGGGCTTCCCCAGTGGTTCAGCAGTAACGAAGCTGCCTGCAGTGCAGGAGATGCAGGAGACTCGGGTTCGATCCCTGGGTTGGGAGGATCCCCTGGAGAAGGGTATGGTAACCCAATCCAGTATTCTTGCCTAGAGAATCTCCATACCAAGGAAGCTGGCAGCCTACATAGGGTCACATAGAGTCGAACATGACTGAAGCAACTTAGCACATATGTGTAAAATAGCTAGCTAGTGGAAAGCTGCTGTATAGCTCAAGGAATTGAGCTTCATGCTCTGTGATGACCTAGAGGTCTGGGATGGGGGAGCGGGTGGGAGGGAGGTCCAAGAGGGAGAAGATAAATGTGTACACATAGCTGATTACAAAACATTATAAAGCAATAATACTTCAACAAAAAGATGATTAAAAGTGATAATAAAGGAATGCTATTGATAATTTTTTTAATGGCAAATAAATCCAAATACTGAAAACTTATATATGCAACAGTGATGGCATAAATAGCACACAATGAGATCTGTGACGGGCACAGTGAACTTCTAACAAAATTGTAGGCAATCAGTATGTTCCTACAGTGCAATGGCAAAGACATTGGATACTGGAGACTGATACACTTCCTTAATATGGTACTGGAAGTTATTATTCCTGTGACTCAGTTTCTTCAACTGTAAAATGGAATTCGTACTAGAACTTATTAATATTAGTGCTTTTCTCATAAAGTTCTGAAGATTAGAAAAGTGAACATACAGAAGACCATCTTGCATTTAATACATTGTCAATATTTGGAATGTAACACTGTGATTGATTATGGCCACTTAAAATAATTTTGGAGATGTGTCTGTTGTCACAAATATTCAGGAAGATAAATCAGGTCATGAAGTAAAGTTGTATAATTAGAAGTAGATGACTGTGTGCCTAGCTATTCATTATTTGACTTTGCTAATGAGATTGAAAGGAAACCTGGGGCATTAATCGCTGTCTTGTTACTGGCTGATTCATCAGTGAAAATCTCAAAGCCAGGGAGAAATATTGAGGTTCTTACAGTGGAGCATTCCAATTTCCTTTGAATAAGAAGAAAGTGAAAAAAAAAAAAGTGAAGAGTGCTAGAAACTTGTGTTTAAAAAAATGAGAAAAGGCAAAGAATTGTAATAGAAAATTATTGTAGATGGCATTCATTTGTTAGTCATGACTAAGCTCACTGGTAGACCCATTTCCTTTATAATTCTGCAGAAAGATGGTAAATTCATCAAATTCCTCAGTCATAAAAATTTTATATTTTTAAAAATGAATTACCTCCATTATATAAGTTGCTCCATGTAGCACAGAACAATCTCATGAGGTCATGTAGCACTGCCTCTTACAGACAAAGAAACTAAAGAAAGAATTTGAGCCATTTTCCTACAAGTTGAATACAGAACGTGTCAACCCAGTTTTCACTAAAAAATTGTTTACACAGTGGACTCTTTCAGTGAAGGGCTGCATTTAACTGTTGCCTAAACCAGAGGCTTGGCAACATTAATGACTAGCTCCTTCCCACTCTTTCCTTGTAACATACACACAGAATACAAAAATTTTAATTATATATCATAGATTCAATTTTGTATGTTTTGCTGAAATCAATCCAAGCTTCTCTGTCTCTAGTGCTTTGAATCTAAATTAGGCCAACAGTCTTTCCCCTGGATTATTGCAATGGTAACTTCCTCTACTGCCTACTTTTCTCCAAATTTTTCCTTCCTCCAGTGCATTTCCCAGTTTATAGCCAGAGAAGTCTTTCCAAAACATAAAGCTGACATGTCAGTCCCTGCCTAAAACTCTCCAGTTGCTTCTCCTTGTTTTCAAAACAATGCTCATCCTCCTAACCATGTTAAGAGACTTGCATTCTTTTGCTCATACCCTCCACATCCTCATTTCAGAAGCAGATTTCTTACCCACTATTTCTTCCTCCAAACCTTCTGACACTTATACACATATTTTCATTTTTATTAGTATTTATACATGCATTTCCTTTTCATAGAGCTAAATTCGACTTATCTTTCAAAGCTCACTTTAAATTATTTTTTAATTGAAGGATAATTGCCTTACAGAATGTTGTTGCTTCTGTCAAACAGCAGCTAGAATCAGCCATGGGTGCACCATGTCCCCTCCCTCCCATCTCCCTCCCCATCCCACCCCTCTAGATTGTTACAGAGCCCCTGTTTGAGTTCCCAAGTCTTACAGAAAATTCCCATTGGCTATCAATTTTACATACGGTATTGTGAGTGTGTTACTTTCTCCATACATCTCAGCCTCTCCCTCCTCTCCTCCTGCTGTGCCCATGGGTCTGTTCTCTGTGTCTTTTTCTTCACTGCTACCACGCAGATAGATTCATCAGTGTCATCTTTCTAGATTTCATATATGTGTGTTACTATACAATATTTATATTTATCTTTCTGACTTTCTTCACTCTGTATAATAGGCTCTAGGTTCATCCACCTCATTAGAACAGACTCAAATGCTTTCCTTTTTGTGGCTGAGTAATACTCCATTGTATAGATGTATCACAACTTCTTTATCCATTCATCTGTTGATGGACATCTAGGTCAAAGTGCATATAGTCTTCCCTGGATTCATGACTCTAATCTCTAACCACCTGTGTGCCAGTTAATCATCTTTTAACCTTTCCCTATCAGGTGTAGTTCCTAGGCTGCACTGACAACTGTTTCCTTGTCTACATTTTTTCCATGCACGTACACACTTGCTATGACATATACAGATACATACACAAATACACACCCTACTTGTTCATTCATTCCTTGCTTAGGATCTTAACATAGTGAATTTTTCTGAGCTCAGTCTTTTATATTGGCAAAATTAGAACTAAGTACCTACCTTGTTATCTTGCAAAGTCCATATGAGAAAAATAGGAAAAAAATTGCACATGTATGTATGTGTGATAGATAAGGCTTTCTTTCATAATAATAGTTAACAAGCCTGTTCAAACTTCACTGTAATTACTATAGTAACTGACTGATTTTTAGAGGCATTTTTGCTTTGAGATTTGGAAAGGGGTGCCTTTTCAGTGGATTTCCATTTCCTACAAACCAAGGGTAAAGAAAACCCCCTTCATTCTGTTCTGGTTCTACCCAAGTGCCTCCCCCCCACCCCCCCCAGTGTCAGAATCTATCTAAATCACTGAGCTACTTTGGTTCTAATCAAATGTCTTGCTGTAAATCTTGAAGGACCTGAGAAAAAAGTGTGGTGATGTCATGGAAAATATCTGTATTTACAAGTGGTACCTGATAAACAATGTTATAGATGCTAAAGATGTGCAATGTTATTCTGGAAACTGTAGCTTGGATAGTCAACAATGCAAAATAAAATCTTGTTTTTAAACTGTTTTTTTAAGTTTTCCCTTTTTAGATGAACTAATAAAAACAAAACATCCTAATAATTAAGGTTTCCATTCATCTAGACTTTGTTTAAAATGCAAGGGTTTGTGATCATGGCCAAAGTGGCTAGAGCCAAGTGAAGAATTTGGGAGGCCTTCATGCCTTTTCTTTCTGTGTTAGACAGGACTATGAAGAGCTAGAAAAGCAGCTGAAACAAGTCTTTAAGGAGCGAAGCACCATCCTCCGTCAGCTGACAAAGACATCAAGAGAACTTGATGGAATTAAAACCAACCTTCAGGTGAGATGAAAACTAATTTTCTCAGCAGCCAAGTGTAGGGAATCACCTAGTTTGTCTCAGTGGATTGATACATGAAGACTTCCACAATTTTTTTTTACCAGTATTGAATATATTCCTGGTCTTGAACATGGGAGTTACTATTTATTATTATATGAGCTTTGAAAAGAAATGTCATTTGAAATGCAGTCTAAGAATCTGGGGTTTGCAAAGTCAGGAATGAGAAATTTGTGTTTAGCAAAGCCATCAATTTCTCACAGCTTCTAAGATCAACTTGACCCCTGTGTTTTTTATATTACAAAATGATGAAAAGCAATTATGGCCAAGAGTTAAATGAATATATAAATGATCTCTAGAGTAGAACTTTAAATTCCACAAGATAGTTCTGAAAATTTTTTGATAAACCTCATTACTACAGCAGGTAAATCCTCACAAAGGAAAGTGTCATCTGTGAAAATGTATTAACATTCAGTGAAATCTCAAGCAAAAACCAAACACAATACTTATACTTGAAAAGAAAAGTTTCTGAACTATCTGAGAATATATTTAATATTTTCCTTTAACATTGTAGTTATTGAATATACAGTATACCCCAAAAGCTTTGCATGTCTTATAGAATTTAATTCTCATAATATACCAATGAGAATAGGCATCATAAATGTGATTTGTCTTGTTACACATGAGGAATCATGCTTGAACATCACAAAGGAAGCCAGAATTTAAATACAAGCAGTCTGACTCAAAGCTAGTCTGTTAGTTATTGCCCAGAAGCATGTTTCTGAACCTTGCATACTCACCATTGTTCTTAGCTTTCTAGTCCTGTGACAGTGAGGATGGTGTCAGTAACTACTGAAGTTGCAGTTTATTGAATGTGGTCTCTTGTGTTAGGTATTCTTTCTTCATGTTTTAAAATTAATTTTCACTTGATAATTATGCTATGATTATTATTAGTCTCATTTTATAGGTAATAAAACAGAATTAGAAAAGGGCTCGGAAGCTAAGAGCACGAGGACAGTTAGGAGATAGATCTGCTATTTTGAAGCCAACACCCAAGCTTGTGTTCCAGAAGCTGTATTATGTCTTGAGAACATGAAAATAGGAAAATCACTTAGACTCCAATAGGACACAGAGACAGGTAGCATGATGGTAAGAGTGCAGGAATGACAGTTCTATGGTGGGAGTATACACAGAGCATTAGGGATGTACTTGTATTGTATTGTGTATTGATTGCCATAGGAAGCTGATGCCAGAACTGTTTTCATTAAGTGGAAATTCAAAAGTTTTACGAGACAACAAAGAATATTTGACACTTGCAGCTTCTTAGAGAAATAGAACATCTGGCACTGAGAATTTTCTAAACATGTAGTGAAAGAAATGCCAGAAGTGGTCAATCCTTACAATATTTCCAGGGCTCTCAGTCTCTCTGGACCTGTAGTCTGTTAAGACATCTAATTACAGTCTAGGAAATTATTTGAAAGAAATGTGTAATTTTGTGTGGAGTTACCTTTTTAAAAGAATAACAAGTCAATCCATAAATGTAATTGAAATTTTTAATGTTTTTTTATTTTGTGCCAGTCATTGTACAAGGTGAATTTTTAAATTTTTTCTTATTAAATCTCCTTAACAATATCTTCACAAAATTAAAGAAAAATTCACAAAAAATCAAAGAAATTTCCCAAAGGCATACATCTAATAAATGAGTAAATATCATTCATTGTGCATATTTTTCTTTTCAATAGGGCTTCATAAAGATATGATCTTTTTAAGTCTTGTTCATCTCTGTAACCATAACACCTGAATGGCATAGTAATACTGATCAGTCAGTAAACATCATATTGATTAATCATTAGGTATATCAATCTTTAGTATCCCTAAAGTCATCAAACTTATTTTCCAAGATGTACATCTCCCTTCTTTGCCATTGCTGGGGAAATAATAATTTATTAAGTGCTGTCCTGCTCTTTAATTGCATACACTTTGCAGAGTCCCATCTGTCTACCTACTCTTTTCACTTTTATATTTCTTTATTTCATGTGTTGTGCTTTTTCAATTTCTTGAAGAAAAGATGGTGACTTTTTAATTTTGGTTTCCTTTACAATGCCAGAGTATAGCAGATAGCCAAATGAATAAGCATATTTTTGCAAAGTTATGTCACACATCTGTTATCCTCTTTGAGTTTTCCGATAACTGTCTACTGTTGTTGTTAAGTCATTAAGTCGTGTCTGACTCTTCGCAATCGCATGGACTGCAGCTTGCCAGGCTCCCCTGTCCTTCACTGTCCTCTGTGGCTTTTCTAAATTCTGTGTGTGATAGTTCTTCAGCCGTGTCCAACTCTCTGCAACTCCATAGACTGTAGCCCGCCAGGCTCCTCTGTCAATGGAATTCTCCAGGCAAGAATGCTTGAGTGAATGCCATTGCCTTCTCTAGGGGACCTTCCTGACTCAGGGATCAAACCCGGGTCTCCCTTAATTGCAGGCAGATTCTTTACCATTTGAGTTACCCGGGAAACCCTAAATTTGAAATCCCACAGTTTATCTAAATGTTAGTTCAGTTCAGTTCAGTCTGTCAGTGGTATCCTTCTTTTTGTGACCCCATGAACCGCAGCATGCAAGGCCTCCCTGTCCATCACCAACACCCAGAGTTTACTCAAACTAATGTCCATTGGGTCGGGGATGCCATCCAACCATCTCATCCTCTGTCGTCCCCTTCTCCTCCCACCTTCAATGTTTCCCAGCATCAGAGTCTTTTCCAATGAGTTGGTTCTTCGCATCAGGTGGCCAAAGTATTGGAGTTTCAGCTTCAACATCAGTCTTTCCAATGACTATTCAGGACTGAGATTGACTGGTTTGATCTCCTTGCAATCCAAGGGACTCTCAAGAGTCTTCTCCAACCCCATAGTTCAAAAGCATCAGTTCTTTGGCTCTCAGCTTTCTTAATAGTCCAACTCTCACATCCACAAATGACTACTAGAAAAACCATAGCCTTGACTAGACGGACCTTTGTTGGCAAAGTAATATCTCTGCTTTTTAATATGCTGTCTAGATTGATCATAACTTTTCTTCCAAGGAGCAAGCCTCTTTTAATTTCATGGCTGCAGTCACCATCTGCAGTGATTTTGGAGCCCCCCCAAAATAAAGTCTGACACTGTTTCCACTGTTTCCCCATCTATTTGCCATGAAGTGATTGGACCAGNTTGATGATTGATGATTTCCCCACAGCACTCTTTATCCTGTTTTCTTTCTTTTTTTTTTTATTTTTATTAGTTGGAGACTAATTACTTTACAATATTTTAGTGTTTTTTGCCATACATTGGCATGAATCAACCATGGATTTACATGTGTTCCCCATCCTGATCCCCCCTCCCATCCCCCCATCCCATTATACAGAGTGAAGTAAGCCAGAAAGATAAACACCAATACAGTATACTAATGCATATATATGGAATTTTAAAAGATGGTAACGATAACCCTATATGCAGGACAGAAAAAGAGACACAGATTTATAGAACAGACTTTTGGACTCTGTGGGAGAAGGCGAGGGTGGGATGATCTGAGAGAATAGCATTGGAACATGTATATTATCAAGTGTGAAACATATCCTGTTTTCTTTATCAAGCTATTTTTTCCAAGGGCTAGTGGTGCTAGTGGTAAAGAAACCACCTGCCAGTGCAGGAGATGTAAGAGACGTGGGATCGATTTCCAGTTCAACCCCTGAATTGAAAAGATCTCCTGGAGAAGGAAATGGCAACTCACTCTAGCATTATTCTGTGGAGAATTCCATGGACAGAGGAGCCTGGCAGACTGCAGTCTATGGGGTCACAAAGAGTTGGACATTACAGAAGCAACTTAGCAGGCATACATGCACTCTTTGCAAAAAAACACAGCATCTTTTATTGGCTATTTCCTAATAATGACCTCAATCATTTTAGGAAAGATTCTTCTTTTGTGAAGTTCACTCTACAACATACCTATCAGAATGCTTAACTTACTGTATGAAAATTGTTCCTACCATTAGGATAAAAAATTGGTGAAGGCAGACACCATGCATTTGATGTTAAATAAACATTAAGTAAACAAAGTATTTGCCATTCTTGTTATTGTTAATGTTTTACTTGTCATAGCTGCTCTTCCTACAAACAATATTATTGTCTCTATTTCAACTTTTAATATTAAGAAGGATCTGTTACCATGTTAAATAGTTTATTGGGTATAAATAAGAAGGTTCTTAGGGAAGGCTTAACAAGGCAGCTTACCTAATGAGAAAAGCTCAGTGGAGTTCTCTGTTTTGATTCACAGTCTGTCAATGCTAAATTTGCCAGAGTAAATAAACACCAATGAGTGAGGTGGTATTTTTTTTCCTTAATACACTACCTATACAGTACCATTACAATTTGAACTGGTCCTAGTTTTATATATATATATATATATATATATATATATATACACACACTTATGAGTGAGGTGGTATTTTTTTTCCTTAATACACTACCTATACAGTACCATTACAATTTGAACTGGTCCTAGTTTTATATATATATATATATATACATATATATATATATATATATATATATACATACACTAATGCATTACTTATAAATAATAGATAGACACGACCTATTTGGTACATACCTATGTACCTATTTGGTACATACCATTTGACTGCTTTGATTTTGAACGTATTATTATTTAGCTTATGTAGAGAGGTTTTTTTTTTTTCTCATTTATTTTTATTAGTTGGAGGCTAATTACTTTACAATATTGTAGTGGTTTTTGTCAGGTTTTTATGTCTCCTTTTGTTTGTAGAAACTATGCCAAAATAAGCTTAACATGCCTGCAGAGAGCATGGTAAAACTTCGAATGAAGAACAGATAATATATTTTATATTCCATTTATTCCATTATGAAGCTACCCTGCTGGCTCAGATGGTAAAGAATCCACCTGCAATGCAGGAGACTGGGATTCAATCCCTGGGTCAGGAAGATCCCCTGCAGAAGGGAATGGCAACCCGATCCAGTGTTCTTGCCTAGAGAATCCCATGAACAAAGAGTCTGATGGGCTACAGTCCATGGTGGTGCAGAGTTGCACACAACTGAGTGCCTAAGCAAAAATACAGACATATTCATTTTAAAAAACACCTAGATATTTGGAGAGTACTTCCTCTTTCATTGAACCTCTGAAGACTGAAACTCAGTTCATTCCCTTTCATTCATCGTGTAGCATTTTCACTGGTTGGTGTCAAACTGTGCGTCCTGAGAGCCAAGGGGACCATCATAGCCTCATTTGCGCATTCTTATTTCAGGGCACACCTTGTGCCATAAACATAACAGTAAAGTCAGCTTCAATCTATCACCTGAATAAGACTTCCTTTTCCCTATTTTCTTATCAGAATTTGAAAAACGATGAGATATCTGCTAAAACTGATGTTCAGAAGCTTCTGGAAATAGGTCAGAAACAAAGGTAAGGCTNTCTGCCCATCAATATACAGATCCAACAGCTTTGACATAGTGGGCCATTTTTATTAGTATCACAACTTGATCCTGGTGATAATTGGGTTGATAAGGAATGGGGTATTTTTATTAATAGCATAGTAGAATTTGAACATTTTTATTACTGTTACTTTGTTTATTTTTGAAGGGAGTGAAATATGAGCTAGATTTATACCTGGTATTAAAAAAAAAAAAAACTATTACTTGAAACTGCTTGTCTAACAAATACACAAAAAAGCCAAGGTATTGTAAGGTACAAAAGAGCTAGCCTTTGTTATTTGTTATGCATTTATTAGAGGCTCTGATGGTTTTATATATATACATATATTTTTTGTTTCAATACCACAATTATAGTCATTATTGTCCCCAATCAATAAATGGGAAATTGTTGCTCAAAATGCTTAAGCAAATTGCTGAGAGTTGTATTAAATTAGATTTGCTCTGCTGTATCTTGTCTATAGTCATACTCTTTCAAGTCAGCTTACCTATCCAAAGCAGAAGGCTGTTTAAGAGGTTGACAGACACTGCACTATGTATCCTTTTCTTACCGTCTTGTATCTTCTCCACTGTGACCCAGAAACCTCATGTCATTAAGGCAGTGACATGTTAAAAATATCAAATCAAGCATCTCATCTTGACTCTTTTCATTATTTAAATGAAATCTTTATTTCTTGAACATGAAACTCTCTCCAGAGTCCAACATTAAAAAGATCTCGTGTAAAATATAGGTCTAAGCATATTTTCAAAAGTACATAATTTTAAACTATTTTACTGGTTTTAAATAATCCACCTTTTAAAACACATAAGTATTTGTGGTTCACTGAGTTAGTGGAGAATTATAAACCATATTTTCAATAGGAATAGCTAATCAAAGCAGACCAAGTGTCATTGAAGGTTATTAGTTTTTGCAGACTCTCCCACGTTTGGAAAAGATAAACAAAAACATAAAAATAGAAATGACTTCTGCATAATCCATGGGCAACACCAGTGAGGGGATTGCATTGACGAAAGAGGACAGAGTGAGTCAGGAAAGATTAGAAAATGAGGCTGTCATGCGTAAATGAGGGCCATTCTTGAAAGTTGGCTGAAAGTGGACTTCAACAGAAGGCTCATTTTAGGTAGCTCTGAAAAAGGATGCTATCATTTAAATCGTATTTTAGGGGAATTATTCTGACAACACCGTTCAAGGCAGAAAGAAAGAGACACAGACCAGGTGGAGGAAAGGTGGCCTAGAGAAGAGGACCCAGAGATCTCATCTGTGAGCACCAGGGCCTGAGAGCAACAGCATCAGGGTTTCCTATTGCATGAGAGACATAGATGAGGAGACAGGCTTCTGCATGATATGGAAAAGGAGAAGCGTATTCCTTTAGTTTGCTGCTATTTTCTTAAGTTATCTAAGGCTGTCTCTACATGACACTCCAAATATCCATGTAAACATGGAAAAATATGACTAGACTTGTTAAGAATTTCAGGTCATCATCTGTATATTTGGCATGGTATATGAATGGCAGATGATGGACCAAGTCTTTCAGTGAATGGGTTTAATGGAGCAAATATTTGGAATTATGCTTTCAAAGTTTCATCCAAAATTATAAAATTTGTTTAAAATGCATAACTTACACAATGCGTAAAGTCAGAATGGAAAATTCAAATAAATCACCTACCAATAGGTGATTTCTCAAAAGTATAATGCATTTGATATGTGTTTTTTTCTGTTTAGAGATATATAAAAATTATGATTATCTGAATGTGAAAGAGGCTATGTATCTCATTTCCAAAATAAGATTGAAAAATAGTAAAAGAGAAAAACCTTCTCAGACTATGAAAAGTATTAACTGATTACAAATTTAGACATATTATCAGAGCTGGGAAGATTATAATGTATTGCAGATGCCATCTACATATATACCTGGTTCCCAGTAATTCTTTGTCCTCTGGGATTACCACCTGGCCCTTCCCTAGAGAAGTGGTCTCCAGACTACCTTTGATCTGACTCTGATATCACTGTATACAATTAATTAGCTCAAGGTGGCCACCAAAACAAAACTGAATCAATTAGAATTTCCCTCTTAGAATTGTGTGCCAAGAAGCAACTAATGAAATCTCTCTGTTTGGCTGTACTAGATTTTAAGTAAGTAAATTCACAGGATATGAGGGAGCCATAAATAACTAGGTAGAAAGAGCAGTGTGTCTTTCCACCAAGAGGTGCAGAAAAAGGAGTGTGTGTGGGTGTGCACACGCACACAGAATTTTACACGAGAGAGAGAAAGCTGCATTGACTCTTGATTTTTACACTTACATAAATATTTAGACAGCCTAGGCAGTATTCATAAAAGAATCCTCAAGTTGATGGAGAGACTTTTAAGCCATACCATGTGAAGAACGAGAGTATGCAACCACAAAATAGAGACTCTGGGGGAGAAGGAAATGGCAACCCACTCCAGTACTCTTGCCTAGAGAATCCCATGGACAGAGGAGCCTGGTGGGCTACCGTCCATAGGGTCGCACAGAGTCAGGCACAACTGAAGCCACTTAGCAGGCATGCATGTCTTGAAAATAAAAAGGAATGATATATTTTACGCTCTGCAATGGTTGCTGGATAGAGATTCTGAGAAAGCAGTTTTGGACTAGAGGATTTTACTATATTGAGTTCTCTGAAAAGGAAAAGAATGCCTGGGATAGCAGCAAGCTTTCTTTCTGTGATGTTACCGCAATACAGGCTGGTAACCATTCGAAAAAAATACCTTCCTGTAGGGTGAGGCATTTTTATGTTTATAATTGGAAATGGAAGATGTGTGAAAGAGCTGCCTTTTAAAATTCCTTGTAACCATGAAATTCTCTGCTAAATATACTCATTATATTTTACGCTCTGCAATGGTTGCTGGATAGAGATTCTGAGAAAGCAGTTTTGGACTAGAGGATTTTACTATATTGAGTTCTCTGAAAAGGAATAGAGACTCTGGGGGAGAAGGAAATGGCAACCCACTCCAGTACTCTTGCCTGGAGAATCCCATGGACAGAGGAGCCTGGTGGGCTACCGTCCATAGGGTCACACAGAGTCAGGCACAACTGAAGCCACTTAGCAGGCATGCATGTCTTGAAAATAAAAAGGAATGATGTATTTTACGCTCTGCAATAGTTAGATATCTCTGCTGGATAGAGATTCTGAGAAAGCAGTTTTGGACTAAAGGATTTTACTATATTGAGTTCTCTGAAAAGGAAAAGAATGCCTGGGATAGCAGCAAGATTTCTTTCTGTGATGTTACCGCCATACAGGCTGGTAACCATTCGAAAAAAATACCTTCCTGTAGGGTGAGGCATTTTTATGTTTATAATTGGAAATGGAAGATGTGTGAAAGAGCTGCCTTTTAAAATTCCTTGTAACCATGAAATTCTCTGCTAAATATACTCAGCATTGGAAAAGCCTGTCACAGTTCTTTAGAATTCAAGCTTCAGCGCAGTGCCAAATGGGGACCAAGAGGAGCTCTATCCTGTGCAGTCACACTTGGTGGACTGGGATGGTCCTTGAGTAAGTCAGCAAGAATTTCTCATTGAAGTAAAACTCACCAAGTCTGGGGAGTTGGGGGCCACCTAAAGCCTGAGAGCAGTGAGAATGTGCAGAAATAAGCTTGAAAAACCTAAGAGGAGATGGAGATATTCAAAAGTTTCAAAAGGACTGCTTTGCCATTCTGGTGGATAGCTTTCCTTGCCATGAAAATGTGCAGAATTCTCTGTTTCTCCAGTTTTTGTTAACAGCTTTTGCAGTTTACTTTTTTTTTTCTTACTCCCTATTGCCTATAGATGTCAGTATGTGGGTATTTTTGAATAGATATGTACATATATTGAATTTTATAAAATTTATATTTTATAATTTAAAACATAAGTATCACTTTAAAAATAAAAATGATAATTTTAAAATCCAGAAGTAATGAATAATTGTTATAAGACTTTAATTTAAAAGTTTTTAGTTGGAAATATAGTAGTCCTAGGGCTTCCCTGATAACTCAGCTGGTAAAGAATATTCCTGCAATGCAGGAAATCGTGGTTTGATTTCTGGGTCAGAAAGATCCCCTAGAGAAGGGATAGGCTACCCACTCCAATATTCTTGGGCTTCCTTGGTAGCTCAGATGGTAAAAAATCCTCCTACAAAGGCAGAGACCTGGGTTTGATCCCTGGGTTTTGAAGATTACCTGGAAGGGGATGTGACAACCCACTCCAGGATTCTTACCTGGAGAATCCCCATGGACAGAGGAGTCTGGCTGGCTACAGTCCATGGGGTCACAAAGAGTCAGACACGACTGAGCGAGTAAGCACATAGCACATGACAGTTCTGTTGTATTTTTATTCAATACTTGTTAAATCTTTGAGTGTTAGGAATAGAACGTACATCCTTCCATCCTTCTTTTTCTCTCTGTCTCTCTCCTTCAATAGAGATATTATAATGACTCTCTAGAATTTGAGCACATATGGTCCAGAACACAGTTCCACTACCCCTTTATGCATCAGTTTTCCATTTGCAATAAGATACTACAATTTGATGTGAAATTTATTGAGTGCCTGGTGTACTATAAGTCTACAGTATCGGTAGACATTCGTATTATATTATGTCACAGGTGTTCAGTGTGAAAAATATCAGACGCAGTAATGGAAATCCATATTTTAAGTGTTCATATGTGGCGCTTTTGGGGTTTGCCAGGTTGCGCCTAACGGTAAAGAATCCACCTGCTCTTTTTCTGTTTTGCATATAAGGTTATCGTTACCACAAGAGACACAGATGTACAGAACAGACTTTTGGACTCTGTGGGAGAAGGCAAGGGTGGGATGTTTTGAGAGAACAGCATCGAAACATGTATATTATCTAGGGTGAAACAGATCACTAGCCCAGATGCATGAGACAAGTGCTCAGGCCTGGTACACTGGAGGGATTGGGTGGAGAGGGAGGTGGGAGGGGGGATCAGGATGGGGAATACATGTAAATCCATGGCTGATTCATGTCAATGTATGACAAAAACCACTACAATATTGTAAAGTAATTAGCCTCCAACTAATAAAAATAAATGGAAAAAAAAATAAATAAAGAACCCACCTGCTACTGCAGGAAACTTAAGATATGAGGGTTCAATTCTTGGGTCAGGAAGATTCCCTGGAGAAGAAAATGGCAATCCACTTCAGTATTCTTGCCTGGAGAATCCCATGGGCAGAGGAGCCTGGCGGGCTACAGTCCATAGGGTCGCAAAGAGTCAGACACAACTGAAGCGACTTAGCACAATCAACGCATGTGGCACTTCATTCTAATAAACAGTTTTAGTAAATGAAACCTATTTCAGGCTGTAAAGGAAACTGAGATTTAAAATCTACTTTAAACAAAAGTATATTAAAGTTTTACCCAATCACACATAAATCATCTAAGAACCAAAGAGACTGTAATTATTTTATAAGTTGTTCCTATTATGTTTTGCTTTGATAAACAACATCCAGATTGATTCCAACAATCGTATAGACTTTCATGGATAGTCCTAAAACTGAGAGTGTGACCTAGGAGTTTCTAGATAAGAAAACTGGGGGCCTCATTAAGTTTTCGGCGTGAAAGAGCAGCCTGCGGCTGTGCAGGATGTGCTAGTCAAAGAATGAACACAGGGACCTCTAGTGGTACCAGTGGTTATAACAATGATCTCATGTGTATTAAGTGATTCTTTTCCAAGCATTTTGCCTGCCTTATTGTCTTCTAAACCTCACTACAAATCTGTGAGGTAGTTCTGTCATTATGCCCATTTTATGATGGATAAAAATGAGTCTCAGAGTATACTCTCCTATTCCATAGTCTCCATTTTGTGATTACACACCAAGAAAATATTTTTGTTCCAGAAGTTATCTTTTGGCACTAGACTGGGAATTTTAGTTTGTATGCTACGTTTTCATCTGGTCGTTGCTGTTGCTTTGAAGGAGTTTAGTCCTCTAGCCATACTTAGCACATTACAACACTTAACACGCATGCTTCACTCATATGCTATTATCTGCTATCTGAAGTGATAGCTTAGATGATAAAATGAAGGCCCAGAAAGATAATAAAGTCTGTCATAATTGAGAAAATCCCAAACTTTTGAAGGAAATGCATATTTATGAAAATATTTAATTTTTAATGTGAGACAAGGTCCGTATGTCTGAGTGAGCTTGAGACACAATGTGTATATGTGTGCAGACATGCGTTTTTTATTATCCCCAATAAATGGGCTTTCACATTAGAAATAAATCTTTTTTTTTCTCTTTGTTTTTACAAAAAGTCTCAGACCTTACACAAGATGTCTAAAACATAATGCTTTAGAATTAGTCAATTGGGGCATCCAAGGGAATGATGATTTTATCCTGTCAGCAAGTCACTGGTAACTTTTTTTTTTTTTCCTGAACAGCATGTTCATGCCCTAGCATGCTGTCACTAAAATTAGCTTTCCAACTCTTAATTATTTTATTGATATGATTTGACACATTATGCAGCTCTCACAGTGGGATTCTTATAAGACACAATAGCAAGGCAATTTCTCTTAAATTCAGCTTGCTTTTAGAGCTTCCATGGGAAACAGTACTCTTTACCAGAATCTTGAGATGTGATCCTGTATATTTAACTGTCTCTATACATTCTAGTTATGTTTCTGAAATGTTTATGTGCAGTGAAATCTTATTTCATAGTGTACAGAGTTATATTATGTCTCTCTTTTCCTCTCTGTTTTCTCCTAAACAAGAGAACAAATGAAGGCTCTGCAGGAGGCCCTGGAAAATCAGCTTAAGGAGACAGCTGACAAAGCAGAAAAACAAGAGGCTACTGTAAGTGTTTCTTTTTTGTGTCCTTTGCTTTGGGGCTGGAGAATTGTTCATTTATTTTTTTTCCCCCAAAATCACTATTGAACAAACACACCTGTAACAAATAAAAATGAAAATACAATAAATAAAATACCATCACCAAGATTATAAAACATACTTCATCAGCATTCATTCCAAAAATAATATGTATTTGCTTCTTAGGGGTCTGCTAATTCCCAACCCTTATTTATGAAAGAGAAACTGAGGACAAGAGTGCTGGTGTCAGGCCCCATATCAGCAGCCCTTGAATTTTGGGATGTGACCTTGAATTAAGTTAAGCTACCCAGAGCCCTAAGCCATACCCTTAGATCAGGAAATGACTACATTTGGAAAGATAGTTATTTACCACAGTTGCCAAGAAGGGTGGCATGCCACATGGCCAGGGACCATGCAGGGAAGCCCCAGGTCAGTCCCGGGGCACATGAAGGTGGGGAAACTGTGGACAAGAGCCTCTGTTGTGGTTTCTGTGAGAAGGAAAGGGTTAAGCGAGGTAAGCTGGCCTACCATTGGCCAGTTTGAATGATTTCAGCAGGCTCTGGGACATAGGGGCTGTTTGTCTGGTACCTGGTTCAAAGGATGATTAAGGCATTTATGTAGTGTCCTGGAGTGTGAGAACCCAATAGAAGGTGTGGCTGGGGCTACAGGCTCTGTTTTGGTTAGTTTGCATTTGAAAAGCATGCCCCCAAGTATTATTTTTAGGGGGTGTGGAAGGAACAGTGGTGAGGTAGGCAGGAGGTGAAGCTAGGATGACTCAAGCATATTATTGGGCTGTCCATAAGTAGGCGTGTCTGTGTATGTGTGCAAGATAGAAGCTAAAACTTCAAGTTTACAGAGGCTAGAAACAGTGCTAATACAATATCTCCATCCAGGTTGATTACCTGGGACCCCAGCCCCTTTGAGAATTAGCAGAAACGCCTGCCTTTCTTTTGCAAGGCTTCCCTGAATAATCTGAATTAGAGTATAGAATTTTGCCTCTGAAACTTAGCCCTGTCTGTTATCTGGAGTAACTGCTTCCTGGAGACAGTCTTTGTAATAATGACTTGATTTTCCTAGGCGCAGATTTATTTCCTTTTAATAAATTCATTGTTATCTGTCCAGCCCACCAGTAAAGGTGAGCACCTTTATTCTTCTCTGTTACGCCATGGCAGCGCTCACTGCTAACCTAAACCTACAGTGCACCCTAGTGCCTAGCTCTTTGGACCTATGTGTGTGCTAAGTCATTTCAGTCATGTCTGGCTCTGTGCAACTCTATGGACTGACTGTAGCCCGCCAGGCTCCTCTGTCCATGGGATTCTCCAGACGAGAATACTGGAGTGGGTTGCCATGCCCTCCTCCAGGGGATCTTCCCAACTCAAGGATCGAACCTGCATCCCTTAATGTCTCCTGCTTTGGCAGGCAGGTTCTTCAGCCCCAGTGCCACCTGGGAAGCCCTTCTTTGGACACAGGTGTTACATGAAAGAGCAGACACATTTTTAGCACCACCATGTTGATCCCTCCCCTCAAAATCTGACCCCGTGTAGTGAGTGACCCTAATTGCAATCCTATTCTGCCTTGACTTATCACATGTAATCTCAATTTGTGAATAGCCCAGTCATAAATAATGGTATTTAGACCAGAATAGAAGTTTTCACACTGTTTCTCATACTGTTTCCATACTATATTCTCAGATTCTCACAATAAAATGGCACACTATTGTTATTATTTTTACTGAAAGTGAATAACTATTGCTTGTATTTACACAGTTACTATTTGGAGAAGCCAAGACATGAACCTGTGCTTACTCTAATATGCTACACAAACTATGTCTAATATCCCCAAAGAAGAAAGCTATAATTTTTGAAGGAGCTCAGCAAAAGCTAGAATAGCCAAGTATCAGAAAATAATGGGAACAAGGGATGCATAGTTGGGGAGAAGAAGGTCTCAGACCCTTCTAGTGCTTTTATTAAAATTCAGCATTGAATCTTTAGGAGGATTTTCCTCTCCCACCCCATAATACTGTACTGAGGCAGAAACTCCCTAAATGTATTCATAACCTAACATGTACTATAGAATAAGAATAGAAAGAAAGAAAGAAAGAAAAGAAAGTCTCCTCCATCCATGGGATTTTCCAGGCAAGGGTACTGGAGTGGGTTGCCATTTCCTTCTCCAGGAGAAATTCCTGATCCAGGGATCAAACCCAGGTCTCCCGCATTGCAGGCAGATGCTTTACCATCTGAGCCACAGGGAAGCACAAAATAAGAATTTTCAGGTTTAAATTCCTGGTGGTTCATCTGTTCATGCATGCTCAGTCGCTCCAGTCATGTCCGACTCTTTGTAATCCCATGGATTACCTGCCAGGCTCCTCTGTCCATGGGATTCTACAGGCAAGAATACTGGAGCAGGTTGCCTTGCCCTCCTCCAGGGGATCTGCCCAACCCAGGGACTGAACTTGTGTCTCCTGCATTGCAGGCAATTTCTTTACCCACTGAGCTACCTGGGAAGGCCAGTGGTCCATTTATTGTCTATAAAATTAGGTTCTTTAACCTGCAAGTTTCCTTATTTGAAGAATTCGGGGAATAATTCAAATTAAAATAACACGCATGATTACCCTAAATTTTTTTTTTACCCTAAAATTGTTATCTGACATATAGTGGATAATAGAAATTTAATCTACTCAATAGAAAGAAAACAATTGTAATAAATAAATTTTCCAGTTGAAAGAATAATGTAGGCAAAAAGTTACTGATGGCAAAAGTTTCAATGTATTTTAATAAATGTTTAAATAAATGGTTAAACAATTCCTTATGTTTGAAAAATATATAAAACATTTTATAATAACTCTTTAGTTACTAAGAAAAAATAAAATAAATAAAGAAATAATAATAATGAAGACACCATGTGCCAGTGTAATAGTTGAGGTAGATGCAGATCTTTGGATTTTTTCCAGAAAGAATACTAGCAACAAAAATTTAAGAAGTTATTGAAAAAGAAAAACATCAGTGTAAGAGAGTATTATAAAAGTTGAAGACAATAAAATAGAAAAAAAATGACTGTTATTTGAAAGGACTGATAAATAGACTTTGAGAAAGATTAAGAATAAAAATACTCCAATTTTAAAATGTTTAACTAAAAGAGAGCTAATAGTCATAATAGGAATTTAACAAAATAAGTTATTATGAGCAGCAGGTCACTGGTACATTTAAAATGTACATGTAAATTCCTAGATGAATACGTATAAAATGCTAACATTTTTGCAAGAAGAAATGTAATACTTGATTAACTGAATACATTCAAAATTTTATTATGCTGAAAGACCTCCTTTCCCATATACTCCAGGGCTGGAAGGTGACTTCTACCAATTTTTAAAGATCAGCTAATTTCAAATATTGACTAATTTGCTTCAGTTGTGTCCAGTTCTTTGTGACCCCTTGGACTGTAGCCCACGAGGCTTCTCTGTTCATGTGATTCTCCAGGCAAGAATACTGGAGTGGCTTGCCATTTCCTACTGCAGGGGGTTGTCTCGACTCAGGGATCGAAGTCAAGTCTCTTATGTCTCCTGCATTGGCAGGCAGGTTATTTACCACCAGCGCCACCTGAGACCCAATTTCAAATATAGGCAAATACTTTCTCAAAAATAGAAGAAGTTTGAAAACTTTCATCTAAGTTTATGAACATCATCACTTATGATTCCAAAACCAACTAGTAGCTATATGTGTAAATTAATAGCTATTTTTCCACTAATGAATGTACATGTAAAATTTCTATAAGAGCAAATTCAAGATTATATTAACAATATATATCATCAAGATCAATGAATGCAAACATCTGTGGAAATAAATAATGCTTGTCTTTTGGAGGGAATGTGTTTGTGCTTTGAGTTGAATGACTAATAAGTCCTAAGTCAAAGTACAAAAATAGATGACAGAAAGCTGAACAAATATGGGAATAAAATATATTTAATTAGTAGAAGTATTTTTTTTTAATGTACATCTGGTAGAATCTAGAAAAAGATCGATTTCATACTACTGGGACTCCTCACTTCCAAACTTTAGTAAAGACTCAAAATGTTTGTGCTTTTTCTCCTTATTGAAGATTAAATAAGTATCTAAGTTTAATTCTTGCAAATAATTCAGTGAATATTCTTTCTGCTAGAAAGACTCTAGTTGATGTAGTTTAATGTTGGATAAGAAGGGGACAGTGAGAAATTTAAACTGTTCATTTCCACCAAGAGGGAAAACATTTGGATTTGATTCTGTAAATATTGTCATGCTATTTTAGACTTAGGAGCAAATACTCTTATGTGATGCCCTTGATTACATATCTAATTACTCTGCCTTTTTCCATAAAAGAAGATTGTGTATTTTATGCAAAAGATGTTGCAAATACCTATATTAGTAAGTCCGACTCTGTGCAACCCTATGCACTACAGCCTGCCAGGCTCCTCTTTCCATGGGATTCTCCAGGCAAGAATACTGGAGCGGGTTGCCATGCCCTCCTCCAGGGGATTTTCCTGACCCAGCAATCAGAACCCTAGGGATAAAACTCTCATCTTTTGTGTCTCCTGCATTGGCAGGCAGGTTCTTTACCACTAGCACCACCTGAAAATCCCTAGTAAGTCCATAGTAAAACGTCATAAAACTTGAAGGTGATAGTACTTTTAAATCACAAAAATATAAAAGAAGACAAAATTTTGAAAATTCAAATGAAAAAGTATTTTAATGAAAATTAAAAATAAAGCTATCTTGATCTAATTCCATTTGCAAATACTTTTTATGAACATGTGAGCATCTGTTTTTATCTCTAAGCAGATAATGGAGTAGCAAATCTTACAAACTTGTGTCCTGTATGAAAAACCTAACAAACAGCAAGAAAGAATGATCTATCAGGTGTAGCCAGAGTAATTAAATCCATTAATGCTCTCTGGATGCATTTCACCACTCTTGTTAATTTTTATGGCTTAACTTGCCCTAAGTGAGACATAATTAGTCCAAAGGCAAGAATTAGCTTCAAGCTCTGACTCTCATTAAGAATAAAGAATTATGGCCATCTGTTCTTTACTCAATGTAAATAAGTATTATTTTCTCTCTCTCAGAACTATTTCACTTCTGATTTTCCAGGAATCTTAAAACCTGCTGGGATTCTAGACCAGTGGTTTCAAAATGCTATGACTTTTGAATATTCTGAATGTATTGTAGGTCCTGAGTAATTGAACATTGCATTCCCAAGTCTCTGTCCTTTTTTTAGTCTTGACATTGCAGTATATCTTCATTACCCTGTTAATTAAAGTTAAGTGTTAATTATGGAGAACATATAATAAATAGTATCAAAATGTGAGGATTTGGGGAAAATTGTGGCATCACTGATAAGATAATATGGGGTCACTGTCCCCATGGTCCCTGATGGATCAGACGGTAAAGGATCTGCCTGCAATGTGGGAGACCTGGGTTTGATCCGTGGCTTGGGAAGATCCCCTGGAGAAGGAAACGGTAACCCACTCAGGTATTCTTGCCTGGAGAATTCCACGGACGGAGGAGCCTGGAGGGCTACAGTACATGAGGTTGCAGAGAGTTGGACATGGCTAAGCGACTAACAATTTCACTTTCATGGCATCACTGAAACACCAGGTTATTCAGACAACCAAGGTGGCTTTAAATAGTTCATAACCAAAACTAAAGACAAATCTGTGCATATCAAAATTTTCTGGTGCCCATTAAGTACTGAGGTAGAGTATTATAAGTCCTGATGGTTTGCATTTCTTTTTGTAGTTTAAGTGTCTGACTCATACTCCAATAAATTTCTTTTTATTAAAAAAGATTTGATTGTAGTGGTGGCCACTTCAAAGAGGCAACCACTTCAAAAAGGCCTTTCTCCAATAAACACTTCGCCAACTGCTGACTTGAAGAATCAGCTGTGCCACCCACCTATGCTCCCCAGTGAGCCTTTTTTTTTTTTCCCAGAGGTTTTGGTTAATTTAAGTTTGTTAACTGACCTTTGGGGCTTCTTGATGTTTTGTTTAGTGATTTTCTGTTCTGCACTTTAAATTGCCACTCATGTTTTATTTTTTTTTTAATTTTTAAAAATTTTTTTCATGTATTTTTATCAGTTGGAGGCTAATTACTTTACAATATTGTAGTGGTTTTTGCCATACATTGACATGAATCAGCCAAGGATTTACATGTGTCCCCCATCCCGATCCTTGCTCCCACCTCCCTCCCCATCCCATCCCTCTGGGTTTTCCCAGTGCACCAGCCCTGAGCACTTGTCTAATGCATCCAACCTGGGCTGGCGATCTGTTTCACCTTGATAATATACATGTTTCAATGCTATTCTCTCAGATCATCCCACCTTTGCCTTCTCCCACAGAGTCCAAAAGTCTGTTCTATACATCTGTGTCTCTTTTTCTGTCTTGCATATAGGGTTATCGTTACCATTGCATGTATACGCGTTAGTATACTGTATTACTGTTTATCTTTCTAGCTTACTTCACTCTGTATAATAGGCTCCAGTTTCATCCATCTCATTAGAACTGATTCAAATGTATTCTTCTTAATGACTGAGTAATATTCCATTGTGTATATGTACCATATTTTAAAGTCACCAATAAAGAGTGAACATTCTGAAACCCTAGGCCCCCACCCTCCACCCCAATAAAAACAGAGCCCCAGGTCCATGGACTCCCTCTTGCTCTCTCTCCTCACAAACGCCTTCCAACTATACCATGTTATTTCTTGGACTCATAAGTCATAAACCCTTATTTTTTTTTCAAACTTTCCTGACGGTTATTGCTGAAGGCATTTTGCAGTGATAAACAAAACCACAAGAGTTGGTCCAGCCCATAACAGTGGTAACCAGTAAGTTGACGCCAGCCCAGAGCACAAGAAATGGGTATAAAAACTATTTTGGGGGGGACATACTGCTTTGCACACATATCTAATTTTGATTGTCATCAAGTCCTTCTAGTGATACCTTTGTTTTATTCATCAAATTGATAGTGAGTATAACTCATACTTTCAGGTTGCTGTCAGTATCTTCATGATTCAAACTTAACTTTGAAAATTGTTGTGGCTGAACTGATGGACATAGTGGTTCTCAGGCTTCTGCTTCTATTTTATATGTAGTTTGACCATAAAAAACTGTTTGGTTTAGATTTTGTTACCATTTGGTTACAGATTTCAACAATATTGTATATAGGCAGAAACCTCTTGGTTTCTTTAGCACAGTATTTATAAGGTTCCATGCTTCAGGTCAGGATCATCACTGTGCAATTCCTCTCATACTTGTCCATATGTCAGAAGTACCTGGAGAGTGTTTTAATAAAAGAGATTCCTAGGCCCAACCCTAGACTCTAGCTCTGTTTAGGAACCATATTTTTAAAAATTAAGCTTTATACAGGTGAAAGAATAATAGTCATAATGTGCCAGTCAGGGTGGCTGCTATCCAAAAGTCTATAAGCAACAAATGCTGGAGAGGGTGTGGAGAAAGGGGAACCCTCTTACACTGTTGGTGGGAATGCAAACTAATACAGCCGCTATGGAGAACAGTGTGGAGATTCCTTAAAAACTGGAAATAGAACTGCCGTATGGCCCAGCAATCCCACTCCTGGGCATACACACGGAGGAAACCCGATCTGAAAGAGACACATGCACCCCAATGTCCATTGCAGCACTGTTTATAATAGCCAGGACTGGAAGCAACCTAGATGCCCATCAGCAGATGAATGGATAAGGAAGTTATGGTACATATGCACCATGGAATATTACTCAGCCATTAAAAAGAATTCATTTGAATCAGTTCTAATGATTCATGGATGAAACTGGAACCCATTATACAGAGTGAAGTAAGCTGGAAAGATAAGACCAATACAGTATACTAAGACATATATATGGAATTTTAAAAGATGGTAACAGTAACCCAATATGCAAAACAGAAAAAGAAACACAGATGTACAGAACAGACTTTTAGACTCTGTGGGAGAAGGCGAGGGTGGGATGTTCTGAGAGAACAGCATTGAAACAACTATACTATCAAGTGTGAAACAGATCACCAGCCCAGGTTGGATGCATGAGACAAGTGCTTGGGCCTGGTGCACTGGGAAGACCCAGAAGGATGGGATGGAGAGGAAGGCAGGAGGGGGGATCGGGATGGGGAACACATGTAAATCCATGGCTGATTTATGTCAAAGTATGGCAAAAGCCACTACAATATTGTAAAGTAAGTAGCCTCCAACTAATAAAAATAAATGAAAAGAAAACAAACAAACAAACAAAAAAAAAAGCTTTATACAGGTGAAAGAATCATAGTCATAATGTGCATTTCTCAATTAAAATACAATTTCTTATTATATAAGAAAAGAGTATTTTTGTATAATTAGCAGATATATTTATGAATTGGGCAATAAAATTTTGGTTAATGAATATTGTAATCCTTTGTTCTTTTTCCATATTTGTTGACAGAGATAATCATATATTTATACTTCAAAAATTATGAAAATAAGCTTATAAAAGCTATAGAAATAATTTGAAATGTATCTACATAGTGTCCTCTTTATTTTCAGATTCATTTTCTAAAGACTGAAATGGAAAGAAAGAGCAAAATGATTCGAGATCTCCAGAATGAGGTAAGACTTATATTTCAGGGAGTTTTATGGAAGTCAAAGAATATGCACAAACACAAATATTGATTTGCCATAAACTTTATAGAGTATTGGTCACATTACATTTTGGCCTTTAACTGTGTACTAATGGAGAGAAACTATAAGGTTAAGAATTTCAGAGAGGATAATTCCTAATTTAATTGTGATATGTGTGATATGTGATATCACATATGTGATAATGTTATTAGTTCATAATCTCCAATTTATTTATCCTTCTAATAATGTTTTGATAATATTAAAAAATTATTTTTATTTCATAAATGTATTTATCTACATAATTCTGTCACAGAAGCTGAAGAAGAAAGTTAATTAGAAATGGACTTCATGTTAGGAAAAGCCGATCTAGAATGAAAAAATTATGTAAGATAATTTTAGACTAAAGAGACTTGAACACAAGCAAATAAGTTGTAACTACTTTCCTTACAGTCTTTAAAATGTAAGGACCCTATAAAATGCAGTATGCATTTTTTTTCTCTTTTGAATTTTTTGTCCATTTTGTTATACAACTACTTTATTTTCTAAATTTTTTCACATTTATATTTCACCTCTTTATTTCTTTTTTTCTTGACTGCAATTAGTTATGTAGGACTATTAAACCATTAATTAAACTGCTAATTAATCATGCATCTTCTTTGATCAACCCCACTAGGTTGATTTTAAATCTCAATCAATTGCTTTAGTCATTACTATTCTCCTTTACTCTCCTTCCTTCCTTACTCCCCTCCTTCCTTCTTCAATTTTTTTTGTGACATTTCAGCAATGGATGAGCTACATTATTCCTAAATTGATACTACTTTTATGTCCAGGTTGAAAAATAGTCTTTGTAAATCTCTTGGTATCAAGATTTAGCATTTGTTCTCTGATTATTACATTAAAATGATTTATCAGGCATGCAAAAAATGTTTCATACATGCAAAAAAATAAGAAAGGAAAACAAGAAAAGTTTTAAGTGGCTTTCTTATGATTCTATTATATTTCCATTTCTTTCTAATGATTTTTTCCTCTAACTCTTCTGAAGGAAGTCTAATGAGATGAACTTGATAATGATTTTCTTGAGGGCTAAATCTTCCTGGATTTAATGTTTAGAGTGGAAAATGTCAGCAAAGTAGAGTTACTGAAATACTGGGCATACTAGATAATTTCTTGTTCACTGGGGCTCAGAGAGGGCTAGACTACTCACGTCTAAAACTTCCCATGGGTCATTTAAAGTAAAAGGAATATTTAAAACAAAATTAAAACCGTTATTAAAATAGGAAAGAAAATACATTTGGGTTTGTACACAGACACCCATACACACACACACAACAATATAAACTTGGTTGTATAATAATGAGAGGATTAGGGGCTAATTTATATCTCTGTATATGTATTATCAGTTAACTTTTAATCATAGATAATTTTTTTAATTTAGAATTCAACCAATGAGAAGCTTTTTCAAAATAAAACTATAAGTTACTCATAACAGGTACAGATGAGGATTAATAAAATATTTTATTTGCTTCCAGGGGATATATTTTAAGTTTAATATTAATTTTCTAGTGTGTAGATTAGAATAATTCTAAAAACAGTACAACTCTTCAGAAGTAATGACTGCCAACTGTAAGTCTACTAAGTAAATTTGCTGTTTACTTTTATCCTATTGAAAATCTGCAAGATGATAATTTATAACTAGAAAAAGTTTTTGACTTCTCTAACAAAACCTAGTGGTGAACTTATAAACTGAATGCTTTTAGTTTAACTCGTTTGTATGAATTCCTTGAAATTTTAGATTTATTGTTTTGACAAATAATCAGTATGTAGAGATTGAACAAAATAATAGATCCATACTCTACATAGTAAAATTATATGGACATCCACTGCCCAAAAAATTTTTGTTCAGAAGTAAGAAAATAAAAAGGTAAATTGATTAAACAAAATGTGAAGAGGTGAGGGAGATCATAAAGGGATTTGGAGGAGAAGATTGAAGTGTTGTGAATGATGTCCAGCTCTAGGTGAGTTTTCACACCATTGTGATTATATGGGTCATTAAGATCTTTGTTTATAGTTCTTTCATGCATTCTTGCCACTTCTTCTTAACATCTGCTTCTGTCAGGTCCATACCATTTCTGTCCTTTATTGTTGCCTCTTTGCATGAAATGTTCCCTTGGTATCTCTAATTCTCTTGAAGAGATCTGTAGTCTTCCCCATTCTATTGTTGTCCTCTATTTCTTTGCACTGATCACTGAGAAAGGCTTTCTTATCTCTCCTTGCTTTTCTTTGGAACTCTGCATTCAAATGGGAATATCTTTCCTTTTTTCCTTTGCTTTTCGCTTCTCTTCTTTCACAACTATTTGTAAGGCCCCCTCAGACAACCATTTTGCCTTTTTGCATTTCTTTTTCTTGATCTCTACCTCCTGTACAATGTCATGAACCTCCATCCATAGTTCTTCAGGCACTCTGTCTCTCAGATCTAATCTATTTGTCACTTCCACTGTATAATTGTAAGGGATTTGATTTAGGTCATACCTGAATGGCCTAGTGGGTTTTTATTTTTCCCTACATTCTTCAATTTCAGTCTGAGTTTTGCAATAAGAGTTTATGATCTGAGCCAAAGTCATCCATTTTTGCACTTAATTATTTTTTTTTCATTTTGTATTTGGGTATTATATAGTTATAACAAATATGAAAAGTTGCACCAAAGCTTAGAATTCTCTTTGATTTGCACATTTAAAACAACTTCTCTCCATTGTCACTTCTAAGTTTCTTAATTTTACCTATTGTTTCTTATAGGATAAAATAAGTCTCTCTAGTTAGTGAAGAATCCACCTGCAATGCAGGAGACCCCAGTTCAATTCCTAGGTCGGAAAGATCTGTTGGAGAAGGGATAGGTCACCCAGTCCAGTTATTTTGGGCTTCCCTTGTGGAACTATAAAGAAAACTGAGCACCGAAGAATTGATGCTTTTGAACTGTGGTATTGGAGAAGACTCTTGAGAGTCCCTTGGACTGCAAAGAGATCCAATCAGTCCATCCTAAAGGAGATCAATCCTGGGTGTTCATTGGAAGGACTGATACTAAAGCTGAAACTCCAATACTTTGGCTACCTCATGTAAAGAGCTGACTCATTGGAAAAAACCCTGATGCTGGGAGGGATTGGGGGCAGGAGGAGAAGGGGACAACAGAGGATGAGATGGCTGGATGGCATTACCAACTCAATGGACATGAGTTTGAGTAAACTTCAGGAGTTGGTGATGGACAGGGAGGCCTGGCATGCTGCGATTCAGGGGGTCACAGAGTTGGACACAACTGAACGACTAAACTGAACTGAACTGAACTGTGGCTCAGCTGGTAAAGAATCCGCCTGTAATGCAGGAGACCTTGGTTTGATCCCTGGGTTGGGGAGATCCCCTGGAGAAGGGAAAGGCTACCCACTCCAGTATTCTGGTCTGGAGAATTACATAGACTGTATAGTCCATGGTATCGCAAAGAGTTGGACACGACTGAGCAACTTTCACATAGTGGTCCTAGACATAGGAAAGGCTCGGGGGAGAAATAGGATAATACATAGTTATTGAAATATGAGGAAAAATTAAGCATTGGGACAAGCATTTCAGATTTGTTTGAAACTACTTAATGAAATGTGAAAATTTGATAATATTTAGAATTTCTTAAAGGAACACATAGCTGGAAATATTTGAACTGTGCTCAGTCCTGTTTAACTCTCTGTGGCCCCATGGACTGCAGCCTGCTGGATTCCTTTCTCCATGGAATTTTCCTGGCAAGAATACTGGAGTAGGTTGCCATTTCCTACTCCAGGGGGTCTTCCCAACCCAAGAACTGAACCTGTGCCTCCTACATCGCTTGCATTTACAGGTGAATTTTTTTTACCACTAGTGCCACCTGGGAAGCCTGGTAATACTAGAATTAGATTAATATTAAAACATATATTAATATTACATTAAATTATATTCTGTATTAAATTAGTGAGTTCAGTTCAGTTCAGTCACCCAGTCGTGTCCAACTCTTTGTGACCCCATGAACCTGCAGCACGCCAGGCCCCTGTCCATCACCAACTCCCGGAGTCCACCCAAACCCATGTCCATTGAGTCGGTTATGCCATCCAACCATCTCATCCTCTGTCATCCCCCTCTCCTCCTGCCCTCAATCTTTCCCAGCATCAGGGTCTTTTCAAATGAGTCAGCTCTTTAGCATCAGGTGGCCAAAGTAATGGAGTTTCAGCTTCAACATCAGTCCTTCTGATGAACACCCAGGATTGATCTCCTTTAGGATGGACTGATTGGATCTCCTTGCAGTCCAAGGAACTCTCAAGAGTCTTCTCCAACACCACAGTTCAAAAGCATCAATTCTTCGGCACTCAGCTTCCTCTATAGTCCAACTCTCACATCCATACATGACAACTGGAAAAACCATAGCTTTGACTAGATGGACCTTTGTCGGCAAAGTAATATCTTTGCTTTTTAATATGCTGTCTAGGTTGGTCATAACTTTCCTTCCAAGGAGTAAGCATCTTTTAATTTCATGGCTGCAGTCACCATCTGCAGTGATTTTGGAGCCCAAAAATGTAAAGTCAGCCACCCTTTTCACTGTTTCCCCATCTATTTCCCATGAAGTGATGGGACCAGATGCCATGATCTTAGTTTTCTGAATGTTGAGCTTTAAGCCAGCTTTTTCACTCTCCTCTTTCACTTTCATCAAGAGGCTCTTTAGTTCTTCACTTTCTGCCATAAGGGTGGTGTCATCTGCATATTTGAGGCTGTTGATATTTCGCTTGCCCCCCCCCACCCCTGCTTTTTTCTGTGATGGTTACTTTTAGTATAGATTCTTTTGACTGATTATTTCCATGAAAATTATTCAAGATAGTTCAAGGTAAGAATAAAAATAAGAAATCATGTTTTTTAAAAGTAGTAATAATGAAGTCAGGCACCATAAAACTGAACCTTACTCTGTCCAGTGACAGAAATCAGAT